TAATTAGTAGTAATCTGTTGAGGAAAATCTACTCATGTTTCTACGAAATTCCCACTAAATCATCTAAACGATTTTTTAAAGTTTGTAATACTTTTATTGTCCTCTTAAGAAATATATCAACTTGCACTGATATACTACTGAAGATTTAAGGATCTTCACTGAATCAACAAATAGCGACAAGTTTGTTTAATATCTTTTCATACCAAGTGAACATACATTTATACGCCTGTAGTTTTCTGTTCACCAGTAATGTGGGCTCCTATCAGGTATTTTGATGAATGGTGTACGTCTGCTCTCAGATACCTCTCCAAAGTTCGATAATCTTCTATCAGTCTCTCTCTCAGACACACAAGAATACCCAGCTAACGTGATTATGTGATGAATATTACATACAAATTCAGATTATATTAAATGTAGGTTTTTTGTTGACTTTCAAGTAGATAATAGACAATTCTCTTAATTTCATAGTTTTCATTAATAAATACAGTAAGTTAATTAACAGGAGAATTTTACAATGGATGATAAAAACTAGTACTAGTATGACGAAAAGAGATTAATTTATTAGTTTTAATTTGAGATATTAATTACGATTGAATCTATCCTCATCTAGTCACTAGGGCTCAGAGAAAAGGTGTGAAAACGTGTTAGAATAAGTGAATGGATGGATGAGTGAATGGACGAAATCGATATGACATTATTTTTAATCATTGTCATTTAGTAATTATATGTGACTCACATGTTCACACATGAAGTTGACATACTTACACATATAACATGCACACATACACATACAATACATTGAATAATAACGATAATAACCTTATAGAGAACATTTATGAACATGATTATTTCTCAATGATCTCATATTTGACACCATCATTTGTTTTAATCATTAATATTCTGAGTTCGATGATGCAATACTGAAATTTACATTGTTATTATTCAAATTGCTATTAGATAAGAATAATAGTCTATTGATATTAACTGTATGAGTTCTATTGTTTGATTCAGTAGTTAGTAACAAATATCATATTGTTTAACTGTTACAGATCTGAAATTTCATGCTAACACTTCTAGTTGTGACAGTTGAATTGTCCTAGTCCCATGCTACTACTGATTGTTATTGATTAGTTCTATTGGTAGAACGAAGTGTGTTTGATGTGCTTACTAACTCATCTGTTCACTTTTGCTCTTTTTCTTCACTCACACACACTGCTGACCAAGCTCATTCCAGTACCGAAAATACCTTCAGACTAGAAGCGAACTAATACTCTAATCTGTGATGATGGCTGATGTTTAATAATTATATTTTAAATTTAACTACTAAGAAGAACATTTTATATGAGCAATATACTTTGATTCATGTGAGATTATCCAAAGCCATTGAAAATAAACCATGATTTTTAATTATTTGATTATGTGTGCATGTGAATAAGATGAGGTCAACAATTCGAGAGATCTGTTTTTCTTTTTTCACGAAATCGAATATGCTCAACATTTTATTCAGTCTTTGAGTGACCTCTTGAAAGATTAAATAACATTTTTCTCTACTTAATTAGTTGTTACTAGTATTCAAAACCACTATGATATGTATTCAGCATTCATGAGATTTCAAAGATCGTGATTACCATCTAACCTAATGAATATCTAAAGTCAGTCAACAGTCGCCACAAGAGTAGAACTACATCTGAATAATATACAACGATAGATGAAAGGTTAGTGTCATTCAGCAGTTCAGTAAATAACGTTCCAGGATTAAAAACAATTAGCGTGTAAATTTTGAATCTTAGTGGAACGTAACAATAACAATAATGAACCGGTGTTTCAAAATCTGTCCCTAAAAAAACAAAAAAAAATGCATTTTGAACTTGACTGGTAGTCACTATCTACTAATATAAACTATACAATAATACAGGTTGCATCAAAAAAATTTGTTCAATAATTTCTTATGTTAAATAAGAAGGATTAACCAAAGAACAACCGAAAACCACGGTATATTGAACAGCAATGATGATCATTAACTTAAACTAATCTTAAAAACTATTCCCAGTCAAGTATTATTTGTATTCTGATTAGTGACTAACTTTGAGTTAAATTTTCACAGTTCTAGTGAAAATCCACGATTTGTGGAGCTCAACCATGACAAAAATGAACTATTTACTCGATAGTTACGTAATATCGATAATCGACTAAAATTTAAATTTCAAACGATTGTATACTAATTCAGAAGTCTTAAGTTTGATCTCAGATAAATTCATGAATCCAAACTACTTAAGACTTATATACAAAGACAAAACACATATACTAATGCTACCTGACCTCCATTGGTACTTTCATTGAGAACAAAGATCTCTCATGAATATAACCTACACCTTTTATTTATTCATTATTCTTCATTCTATTCATTTCCTCTACATTACTAATACGTATTTATGCACGTATCTATGTATGCATTCATATAGACGTATACATGTATACAAATAATTGCTTAATATCTTATTTTATTTCCATGATTTCCATTGATAGAAATAGTTTTACAAACTGCTTACCAACACACAAAAAAGATTTGTTCAGTTTCTTTAATGACTTCATTTTGTAGCCATTACTTTCGTTGGTTTTTTGGACTATTAAAACCAACTTGTTTTCTTCCTCATATTAACTAGGGAACTAAATAATTCGTTCGCAATGCTGAATTATTATTATGGATTTTGTTAGTGTTGCTATAGTTTTAATAATCTTCAGACACTGATCTATAATAAACAAAAGTGTTACATATATATATATTCTTACTAATATTTACTAAAATAAAACTTCCTTTATTCTCGACGATTTCCTACTATGATTAACATGAAAGGTAATGATGATAGTCGGTTATAGTCAGAGTAACCTTGTTACAAACTGTTACACATATTACGACTAATACTACTACGCCCCTGCCCTCCCCCTCCTCCTCCTCCTCCTCCTCCTCCTCCTCCTACTACTACTACTACTACTACTACTACTACTACTACTACTACTACTACTACTACTACTACTACTACTACTACTACTACCACTACTACTACTAGTAATGATAATAATAAAGTTGATGTTTTGAAACAGGTGTTTCCATAAGAAGACAATTTTATCTTGCATGTAATTTCTTTTTTACAGTCCTACATACACACATTCGTGCCCGCTACATGTTTGTTCGTAACTAAACATATCAAATGAAATAACATATTGTGAAGTCAATTTATTTTTATTCTTATTTCTGTCTCTAATTAGCTTAAAGTAATTAAATAGCCGATATTAACTACAGGGTAACGTTTGGTTTATTATTATTATTGTTCTTTAATCATGGTAACAAAATGTGGCGTATATGAAAATGCAGAATCATTATCATCATCTCCATCTCCATTGAACCTATGATCAGTAACAGCCGGATGGATTGGTAATTATGTAAAAATGCAAAATACTATTATTATTACTGTTACTATCAATACCAAAAGTTTTATATTCCTCAGGTGTGTAAACAATTCTACTTTTGTACGCCCAAATGGCATAAAATAAATATTAGTATTTCTTCTGAGTTAAACTTTTTTTTACTGATGTTGTCCAGGTAACTTATGATAGATTTTATACACTGAGGAATTGAAATTTATTGAATAAATGCAACTGGGATATGTCATTGAGAGTTGTACAGTTATTTCAAGAAGAAAAAACAATAGAAGTAATAATATAAACAAATAACTAAATAACCACACTAATTAAATTCATTTTGTATTGTTCGTTTGAAACTTTCCATTGATGTTTAGAACTGCAATTGATCTGTCTCTTATTGGCATATGTGCATCCTGTGCTGATTGCTTCAATATTGCCCTAGGTCACAACCATTATAAGTAGAGATGAATGGTGACTAGCGTTGGAACCCAGGATGCGCATTCCGTTTTATTTGGGACTCATCAGTTGGATGTAATGGCATCCTAGAGCTGATGTTCACTCTGAGACTCGTACACAATACCGTTCTCTTCAACGAACAATAAAAAATGAATTTAATTAGTGTGATTATTTATTTATTTGTTTATATTATTACTTCTATTGTTTTTTCTTCTTCAAATAACTGTACAACTTTCATTGACATATCTCATCTGCATCTATTCAATAAATTTTAATTCCTCGTTGTATGGAAGGAAATGACAGGAAATGACTCACATTAATGTAATGTATTGAAATAAGAATAGAGAGGTCAATCATGTACAAAATATTCGTAATTTATTAAAATTACCACGTATTCCTACAAATGATAATAGATGATAGTTTTTCTCCACCACTAATTGGTTGAATTAGTTAAATATAGACAAGTTTAATGTTATGATGTATTCCAAACATTTAGTTAAGACTGAGAAGCTTAAATACTTCCAAATTTGATCTTCTTTACAGTCGAGGATATGTATAGTTAGAACGTTTCAAAATGAGCCATAATACCGGCTGATCATTGGTTTTTAACATTTTTTTAGATGATGTAACTCGATGATAAAGATTAGCATCTAGTAACCAATTAATACTGAAATCATACCGTATTTACAAAGACCTGAATACAATATTTGTCCTGGAGTTCTAGTGAGAAGTAGTGACCACTGAAGTTCAACCGTGTCAGTTGTAAGATAGTAACTCACTGATGACAATGGTGGATGTGCCGCCCAATTTTGTAGATTAGTCGGAGGTAGACATTAACACCATCGGATGCCGGCTCAGTGCTTTGGAGGTTAAACGTTCGTGCGCGAAACTGAAAGCCCTGAGTTCGAACCTCGTGAGGCGGGATCGTCGATGCACACTGCTGAGGAGTTACGTTATAGGACGAAATGGCTGTCTACTGCTTTCAGGTTTTCCATGGTGTTCTAGCTTCAATTGACTTTTTATCTCAACTTTTGACATGACTACAATCTCAACAAAACCCTTTCTGAACTCTTAAAATTTACCTACTTATAAGTAGTAAAAGATTAAACAACAAAATGTTCCTCAATAGAAACATGTTAAGAATTATTTTTATTTATTAATTCATTAGTTATACTATTAATAAACCTAAATTATACATACTGGTTTTCGAATATGGTAATAATTTAAATGTGATAAATATAACGAATTGTCCAATTGGTCATTGACATATTCATAAATGATTTCATATGTTTCAATTGTAATAGATCTAAAATAAGTTCTTTATCTTCTAGTGTCACAGAACATTCATATGAATAAAATGCAGAAATAATAAATTGATAATTAAAACTTTTAATAATTTGTTGAAATGAATGCTGATTTTTAGTTGAATCATTTGAAAGGTTCATTTCAAATTGAAGTAATAATGTTCCATGTTGTGATTGTCTATGACAATCTAAATATACCTATTTGAATTAAATGAGGGAAGTGAAACAGTAGAGAAAAAGGGAATGAAATGAAGGGTAAATACCATATATATATAATGTGTTTGATTACAGTTAACAGATTATTTCACAAAGGGATAATCAATTTGAATCTATATTAAGTATTGGACTAACTTGATTACATGTAAATATAGAAAACAAACTCATAATTAAGTTGAATGTATTAAACTTTATGATATCCACATGTTATAACCTTATAAACGAGTGAGAATTCATTGCTAATATGATATTTTGAAGATTTTCCAATTAGTTTGGAGTTAAGTCACTTTATCGATTGATATTAGATAAAGAGTATTTGAAAAACAGAGATTAGTGAATTACTATTGTTTTCGTTGTTATGACACGCTACTACTAGATATTTACGAACTCACCCTGTGATCAAACCAAAGACATCCAAGTTTCATGGTCAATAGAACATTGTTAAGTTGTTCAGTTAGAAATTAATGGTTCATATATATTTCGAATTCAGATATCAGTTACTGTTTGATTCAAATTGATGGAATTTCATTCTTTGATCGGAATGGTTCAATTATAGAACTTTTCTTGTACTTTTGAACAAGATTATCAGTATAAACTTTATGATTTGGTTGACTTCATACATTACAATGGTCTGGAGTTATGGAATAGAAATCATTGTATCCTGAATTGATGACTCTAACCATGATATCTGAACGTATTGGATAGATAATATTCAGGAGTCTTATGGAGTAAATCAGTTTAACCGTTTACGTTAAGTTTATTTTTAATAACCCTCCGACTTATACCATTACTAGTCGAAGTTAATCTCAATTATTTAAGAGTATTTGTAATAATTACATTGTATCACATCTTAACCAAATTACATCATTTGAATATACTGTGTGTAGTCATACTTTTTTTTAGAGAAAATATTAGAAAATTATGTAGAGCCCAATACCTCTGGTTTGCTAATATGACTACTTTGATTAGTACATATTATTTAGTATTAATTCGAGTGATTTATACCTATTAGTAGAAAGGAAGTAATAGGTTACTGAAAGTCACTTATCCAGCACAGAATTTATTGATTTAATGAATTGACTATCAGAGGAAATTGAAGGCTTATCAGACATATTATCTACGAAATCAGTTATACTCTAACCCTATATTCTCATTAGGATTTAGGTTTAGTCTTCTACTTCTAGGACTACTCATCACTAAATTCATGTCTGTAGTTCATCTGATTCTTTAATGACAAGCTATTTATTTGAAGGTTTTTGAATAAACTGAATACTTACAACAGAGGAAAATGGTTTTCATTAAGGTTTCTGATATGTTTTGAAATAAATTCGCCGAGACTATAATTTATGGACGAACCAATTAGATTTACGCTAACAAGTCTTGCATTTTGGCGCGAAATTCATTCACTCATTTGGCTAAATAGAGTTTTGGCATTACAGTTGATGTCAGTTCGTGATGAAAACCCTAAATATAGTTCCTAACCTAAACCATCAACTGTAAATCATTATCCTTATTCTTCAAACTGCTTTATAACCCTCAGTTAGCCCTAGTATTTAGGTGGACACTCTCAAGGTTAGCCTAGCGTTGTTCAAAAGTCGTCCATAAATTATAGTCTCACCATAAATCTCTAGAAATACAAATCTAGACTTGGAGGGAATGTAATTTTGTTTGTCTTCATACATCTAATATCAAAATATACTCTACTTTCCCATGTTATTTTATTCTATTCTATTTTAAAGTTTAATGAAACAGACTAACTTTGATATTTTTAATCTTTTGATTATTCAACCATATCTGATATGTTTCAGGACCTGTGAAAACAAAGTAAAACAAAAGTTACTTTAAAAAAAAGACATTCTCTTATGAACAATAATAAAAGTTATATTGAAACTGTTTAAGATTTTTTACAAAACTGAAATGTATATTTCATTACTACGATTGTAACGAACAAGAACATAGATAGGGACAACCAAAATAGTCTAATACAAAATTACACAGTTCTTTAATAAAATGTGAAAACCAGTACTTCATTTGAAATTCTTGCATTCATTCTCTCAAACTTCGTTGTTCTTTCATTGCCATAACAATTACTCACTGTTCCCGTTCATTTAGATTCGATCTTCCCAACCTTCTGTTCCCAAGCCTTTCATTTCTGATTAATGTTATATACTACTTATATCTGTCGACATAAGTAGCATACACCACACTACTACTAGTACTAAGCTATAAGGTTATACTAAATATTTAATGATATATTACTTACATATAATAATTTCATTTGATTTATTGTTAATATGCAAATTCCAAATAAGAAGTCCATTTACATTAACTGGGTAGAAAGTTTCTGAGATTCTATAATGTAAATAAAACATTTTGAAATGACCGCTAATTGTATATTTAAAAAAATGTATTAACAGTATACTAAAAGTAAAATTTATTATTCGTAAAACGAATAAGGAGGAAAGTTCTCTTATTACATCATTTTTCAACAGATATATAAGTGGTATGCTGCTAAGTGTTCAGAAATGTTTGACAGGAAATCTTAGACATAGATTTCGTGTTCATTGGCATTCATCAGTGATATATATCTAAAATCTTGAGGAAAATGATGTACCTAGGTTGATTTAGACCTATATCGTCCAGTTTCACAGTCCGAGACATACAGAGTTCCTTGCTGACTGCCTCTAACTACCTCATATCAGTACATATTACGTGAGATATCAAGTCACTTAAATTAGTGACCACATTCTAACTTGATTGCTAGAATTCAATTAGAATTTAGGTAACTAGGCCCATATGACGTTGGTCATTGCTTACTGATAAGTCAGTGTAAGTGGTTTTCTTGTAATATTTTGTATGATTACAGAAGTAATTTCATCAAAAGGTATCTGAAAAATTGATTTCATACCCTAAAATTCCCCCTCTGAAATAAAGAACACAAATCTTCCTATCAGTTATGATAAATACTTCAGAAATTATAATAAGTTTTGAAACCATATGGGGTCAATCTCACTCATAAGCCAACGTAATCAGTTTGGTCTGTTTTGCGCAAACCGAAAAATGCAACACAGAAGTCCGATAACCTATTGAGAAACAGGAAATATAAGATAGCTGTTTCATCTTAGTATGAGATATCCGAGACATACAGGCTTTGCTCTGCGCTTGTAACTTTTGGACTCCCGAGTTACCACCCAGTAGTTACCATTTACAACCTCAATCAATTCAAGTCATTGAGTTACCACTATTAATTTACATCAGTGTTATTTATCTCACGTCTTCTATGGTTGAACTTTACTGGTCAAAGTTCACATTAAAACTCTGAGATCTAAAGATTTTATGTCTTATTCCTGATGGCATCTTGGATATGTACTGCTAATTAGTGATTTTAAACAGGTATAAAGTGAATATTCAGAAATGTTTCGTTTTCAATAGTTTCCTAGATAATATCATTTCTTGATGTGAATAACTTTCAAACTGAAACAGAAAATATCTATGAAAATAGAATAGATCAAATAATAACATATTGGCATAGAATTAAAAATGGGAAGTTAATGAATTCGTGTACTGAACTTAATGGTTTTCATATCCAGATCTGTTAAAGTTCAATCATAAGAAAAGTTATTGGACAGTTATTAGAGTAATACAAGTTCTGTTATCCTTTATGTCAGACAAAAATATATAATGTTAATAGATACACTTAAGCTAGTAATGAGACATCATATGAACTTCAACACTGAAATGAATGCACATTCAGCTGATGTACCACATATATGATGAACTAAATATCCTGGATCTTCACAATCCGCATATTCTGTCATAAAGCAGCCATATTATGACTTACTAATAATCTACTACGTTAATCATCTATTAATCATCCCAAAAAGTTATAGACTTGTAGATGTGTGTAAAGCTGATGAAAAGTAGCTTATTTAATTCATACTTCAATTGAACAAGAAGCAATGGTCAAAGATTTTGATTGTTTGCACAGATATCATACTGTTTACTAACTAAACTATTTTGAAATATGTAGACACTTGAAGTAATCGAAACTCTAATAATATATCGTATGAATCATTTGTAAATAGTCTTCTGTAATTATGAAATGTCGATTTCAGTTTCAGAAAATCTGAAAAAATGTAGTCATCTTTGGGATATGAAGCTAATTAACCCTGATAAAGGGAAGTCCAACTGTTTGTCTGATATATGGATTACTTTGACGCTGGAAAATCTTCATATTATTAAGAATGATTTGCAGCTATAGTTTACGTAGTCTGATAATCTATATACATTAATCTGCCGTTAAGTAGTAACTAGTCTCATAGTTAATCCCCAACAGTGAATAATTTCCAGAGTACGTTGGAATATGGTACAACCAGTTCATTTGTAACGAGTCTGTCAATTGCAGTGAATGATGTGAGTTCAAATCGAATGAGATGTGTCAATTCCGTCAAGATTGTTGATAAGTCTTGATGAGGAGTGCTAACTATCAGAAAGCTTAGGGCTTCTTGACTACTGTTATCGATTATTCAAAACCTCCGGCATATTTCGTTGTTTAAAAGTTAATTTATTTAAAAAGGATTCCAACAATCTTTTTAATCAAATTTCTCAGACATACTATATTCATATTACTTGTAAGCAAGTGTCTTCTCCAATACAAAGTGATTCTTAACAAGACAAATAATTGACAACCTTGCAAAATTCACATATCTCTATCCCCAATGAGTATGTGATTGAAGGTCATAAAGATTTCATTTTACAAATTCTACAGAACATCAGTCCTTTTTGCCATCAAAATGCTCTCTGCTTGTGGCAACACACTTATCATACTTCTTTCTCTATCACATGAAATCTCTGTGGTAGTCCTTACGAATCTAAGTCTTCAACGGTTTTGTCGTACCATGTTCTATTGTCTCTTTAAGTCCTTTACTAGAGTTAAGTACCTATATGGTTTCTTAGAATTTTGTTTATCATCAATCAACTAGACAGAAAATAGGCGATCGGAAGGCAAAAGAGACGCGACACGTTTATATTCTCGTCAACACAGGAAGTATATGGTGATCCTGACCTTCAATCGTTCTCATAGAATTCATGCATGAAACTGAGACTAATAGTCTATGCTATATTTGTGTAATCAGACTTCAATATCTCATGAATTTTATAGGTTGTTCTCCTGAGTTTCATTGATAATCTGATGTGTTACTGTTTAGTTCTTGTAATTATTGAACAAAATTAAACAAATACATACATGAAACAAATTTCATGAATACCTTATTTGTTTTCTGTCAATATTGGAAACATCCAGTATTGAATGATTGATATGAGATTTCAATTCATTTAGATCATTTACAGCTTGAAAATTATCATTAAAATTGGATGAATCCATTAGTTTATCTTCTTCTAACCATAAAGGATTGGATGATTGTTGAAAATTATCTGACAAATATTGATTTTCTTTACATTTTATATCATTATGACTTAATTGTTTACGTGTATGCGCTAGAAGGAGAACAATTCTGGACATAGTCTGTATAATAGAATATTGAAAACCAAAAAGAAACATTTATACGAAGAGCTATAAAATTATTGTATATTAAAGTAACTCAAAGTAGGACAATAAACAATCTGATACTAATCAACATATGCTCACTAGTGACTGGCTTCAAGAGATATATCCTCGAGTTCTAGTGAGAAGCAGTGACCAGTGGAGTTCAACCGGGTCAGTTGTGAGGTAGTAACTCACTGATGACAATGGTTGGATGTGTCGTTCAATTGCGTGGATTAGTTGAAGTTAGACATTAACACCATTGGATGCCGGCTCAGCGGTCTAGTTGGTTAAGCGTCTGGCGCGAGACTGGTAGGTCCTGAATTCGAATCCTGCGGGGCGGGGTCGTGGGTGCGCACTGTTGAGGAGTCCCACAATAGGACGAAACGGCCGTTCAGTGCTCCCAGGTTTTCCATGGTGGTCTAGCTTCAATTGACACATGATCTCAACTGTTGAAATCTGAAAACAGTTTTGACTTAAACCATTGAAAATCACGTAACACTGGATATCTAATTTGTCCAAAGTTCCGAACCACTATTCACTAGTGCACATACACACATACATTACCTCAAGATCTTGGGGATAATATGTTCTTTAAAATATTTAATTGTCATTTCGTAAAGTAAACCCTCAAATTAATTTATTCGTGATATTACTCCATAATCATCCAGTCATATGGTTGTCCCAAGCTAAGATCCCTTTATTTTTTTATAACTATCTGGTTAATGTCGATTATGAATGAAAAATGTCTTCATACTACCCTAATCTCTGCAAACCAGTGGCTTGGAAATGGATTTCCAAAATGCCATTAAGAAATTGTAGTAGCTGGGGTTAAGTGAGGTTAGAAGTAAACAATGTACCATCGATTATGATTGATGAATATCATAGTATTTAACGAAATCTCAAGTGATGGAAATTTAAACACTGAATCTCAACTCAATAGTCTATAAATAATGTGATTACCATCAAATATAAATGCCCCGTATTCAATCCCACATGTAGGTTTATAGGTGCCGGTTAGTGAAGATTCCTAAACTAGGTCTAAACAACTATTCGACTACTTCCTAATTCTAATTAATATCAGTCTGAGGTTAAGCATATCCCAATATAATAATGGCTACGTTATTACATCAGAAACCACATAATTCTAATATAACTAAAAATGAATTATATGCATTAAAACATCTGAGAAATGATAAGACAATCATCATTACGAGAGCAGATAAAGGGAACACGACAGTTATTATGAACAAATCGGACTACGAGGAAAAAGCCAGGGAACATCTACAAGAGGGTTCGTATGAACTAATTAAAGAAACGAAAAGTAGAACGACGCTTACTAAACTTAAAGCTGAAACCAGTAAAATCTTGCAGTCGTTATAGCTTAAACTAGGATCATCATTATGGTTCATGTTATATCCAAAGAGTTGTAACCCTCGTAGATTCTATAGACTTCCAAAGATTCACAAGAATAATACTCCACTAAGACCAGTGGTTGATTTTACAAATTCACAGACGTACAATCTAGCGAAATACCTAGCTAAGATACTTAAACCGTATGACAAACTGATTAATCATGAAATTAAAAACTCTATGGAATTCAAGAATATTATCGATACCATCTATGTAGAAGAGGATGAAATATTGGCAAGTTTTGATGTATCTTCCTTATTCACTAATTTACCTGTCAATAGAGAGTTGGATATTATTTATGATTGTTTAGAGTCTGACTCAGATATGAATTTACGATGCCTATTAGATCCATCTGAAGTTATTAAATGTTTGGAATTATGCTTAAGATCCACCTTATTTACATTTCGAGGAGACCTTTACAGACAGAAAGAAGGTATAGCAATGGATTCACCAGTTTCTCCGATTGTAGCGAATTTATTTATGCATTCCCTAGAAACCAGTGCAATCACAAGATGTGTATGCCCACCAAAGGTCTGGTTATGGTATGTAGATGACATTCTTATTATCATTAAACGGGATGGCTTAAAAGAATTGTTTGAAAATGTAAACATCATTTCGGAAATCATTAAGCTAACGAAGGAAGTTGAATCCGTTGACCACAAACTAGCGTTTCGCGACTGTTTGGTTGAACGAAGACAATCATAAGAAGTTGAAAATAAATGTATTCAGGAAATCAACACATTCTGAGAGATACTTAGATTATGGTTCGGCTCATGCGCAGTGTACGAAAGTCAATGTTGTAAAAAACTTAATGAACAGAAGTATTAGACTAGTTACAGATAAGGAAGACCAACAAGTTGAATGGAATAGAGTATTGTCTACAATTAGGGATAACAACTACCCAAAAGAGTTTTTAAAGAAGATTGTTAGAAATGAAAGAAAAATTAAACTAGAATGTATACTGAAAGATTGAAAGTCCACAGTGGTCATCCTATACAGTAGTGAAACATCGGAAGAAATCAAGCGGATTCTTAACAAGCATGATGTAAGAGTGTATTTTCGGGCATGTGACACCATAAGATCAGCATTAGTTGAAGTTAAAGATAGGGTCCCAAATGAAGAAAAACGAAATATTGTCTATGAGATCAACTGTCATGACTGTAATGCAGCTTATGTGGGAGAAACATCCCGACAATTGAATGTAAGGTTGAAGGAACACAAACAGTGTTTGAAAAATGTTCTCAAATCCTCGGTTGACTTAAAGAAACTTGAGAATAAGTCTGCGATCGCGTTACGTGCGTTAGAAGCAGGACACAAGATTAATTTTGAAGGGACCAAGATACTTCAGAAAGGCTTTAACACTCATAAGGAAAGATTGACAGCAGAAGCGCTGTATGTATGGGCGAACAAGAACAGCCTGAACCGAAAGGATGGTATTCAACTAGCGACTACTTGGCAAATATGTGTTGACAAGTAATTGGACCCTTTCTTTATTCAACCTGTTTATTTCACATGCATCATTATTTTGACTGGAATTAATGTAAGTTTTAGCAATACACAATTATGTACTTATGATTCTCATTTTATATGCACATGATTCGGAAACAATTTTCAACCTTCAACTTGCACTTTTATTTTATTTATTCCTTCAGATAAAAACATATTATCACCGAATATCAAACGTTAATAATTCAATCTTACACATACATACACACACACAGACAATTCGTTCAGTCATTTATTTTCACGTCGTGAACTTTACACATGATTCTCATTTAACTGACTCATGTTATCCCATTTACTAAAAATCAACATTCAAATATGGTTGGATTAGCGCAGTATAGATCTGATTGTTAAAACGCTATATATTCCTTTGATGATTTTAATGACGATTATTACCCTGAGGAAGTCCAGACAAGTTAACCGGACGAAACGTTGGAATTATTTTAAAATTCAATTGCCGAGATTATTTCAAATATAATTTTCACATATAATAACGTATCCCAGTATATTGATTGAGATCACGAACCGATTGTTGTTAGACCACCATTAAAAACCTGGAAGCATTGCACGGCCATTTTGTCCTACGTTGGGACTCCTCAGTAGTGCGCATCTACGATCCCTTCCGTGGCCATCCAGTGAGGGAATTCTCGGAGTTCTAGTGAGAAGCCGTGAACATTAGAGCTAATCCGTGTCGGGTAGAGACAGGTATCTACCTCAGTACAATGGAAGATAGTCGCGCAATCTCGTGGATTGGTGGACGTTAGACATTAACATCAATGGATGCCGGATCAGTGATGTAGAGGTAAAGCGTTCGCGTGTGATACTGAAGGTCCTGGGTTCTGATGCCTGGTGCGCACTCCTGAGGAGTCCCACAATAGGAGGAAACGGCTGTTCAGTGCCTCCAGGCTTTTAATGGTGGTCTAACATCAGTCGTTTCGTGATCTTAATCAAAAACTTAATCTCCACAATCTTATTCTGATATCCCCGCATAGTTGAAAAGTTTCCATGGAAATTTATTCCCTTTGTAGGTTGTATTTGTCACAGACTAGATTTAATTGAGGTACATCTGAATAACAGGAATCACTAAACAGTTGTTTGAACCTAGTGTAGAAATCCTCATCGGGAACTGAACATAAGACCTCCAAGTCTCATGGGGGATACTTAGTAATTAAAACCACTGAGTCAGAATCCACTGGTGTAAGAAGAATGAAAGGATACTGTAATTCGAATCATTCCATAGTTGAAGGTTATATAGTATACAGAAAGTAAGGGCATTTACAAGGACATGAATATCTTTGAGATAGTAAAATCTTATAGAGAACATGTAAAAATTGATAAAAAAATTTGACGGTTGGTCAATTAGGATATAAGAAAGTTTAGTTAATCATTATACAGGACTTAGCAGTCACATCATTATAGCAAGATAGTTAGAACTAATTACTATACCAGTTCTCTAAGAGAGATATGTCACCTTTTGCTACTCACTAGTTTAATAGCCAAGTATTTATCATAATGCATAGATATTTTATTTTTAGTATTTCTGTAAATTGAAACTTATCCAGGAATTAATCTGATTAGCTAATAACTAACCTTTGACAATAGTCCCACCATAATTATCTATACTTGAAATAATTACTAATTATGTTTACATTATGGACATTGTACATTGGTTAAATGATTCACAAAGAATAATCAGTCAGCTGATCATTAGTTCTTTCTATAATAAGTAACCTATTGATTTGAGTATTACAATACATCAAGTGTACAAAATTAATTCTTTTTAATAGACATTATTTTAAATAATTAGATTACTGATTTTGCAGTGAATCAGAACACAAGTGGAGATAATCAAATGCATTTGAATACAAAATTACAGAACATCTTAGTAAAATCTGAGAACCATACAGTAAATACTCCTGTAGTTGAAATCATGAGTCAATTGAAGCTAGACCACCATGGAAAACGTGGAGACACTGGACGGCCGTTTCGTCCTAGCATGGGACTCCTGAACAATGCGCATCCACGACCTCGCCTCACAAGATTCGAACTCAGGACCTATCGGTCTC